AGAATCTGTCAGCCACAGAATATGAAGTTTTTAAGAAATAACCACATAAAATCATGATTTCTTCCTACCTTTTTGAGTTCTAATGTTTGGGTCATGGATTACCACCATCAAATAAAGATTTTTACATGTTTTTGGTGTATAATCTCACCTTGAAACTCAAGATTTTCGAAACTTATAAAATAGAGGATGAAGAATGCATAAAAATGGGTTTTTCTCCCAAAACATATAAGAAAAGATGAAAGGATATATGCATTACCTTGTTTGATGATGAGATAAATGTTGTATCTTCAAAATCTTGCCAAAATGATGAAGTTAGATGAGAAAATTGGCTGAATGTAGTTGAAGGGAATGAAGATGACTCTTGAGTTTTCTAGGGAGAGAAAATAGAGGGTTTTGGAATTTGAATGAGATTATGAGGATTAAAGGGAAAAATGAAGGTATTTATATGTGGGTTTAGGGAGCGAATGGGGGGAGGATGGCCGGCCATGGAAGGGCCCAACCCAATCCTCACATATATATTTTTTTTAATAAAAACTAAGTCTATAATGCACAAAAGCCCACTTTCTCAATTTTGACATTTTTCTTCATTTTAAAAGCCCACGATGACTAAATTTATTTAAACAGAAAGGTTTTATATCTAAAACACTAAAAATTAGTGTTTTATATATTTTAGGTATAAATTAGAGCATTTGGTACTGTATAGGACGTTTCAGATAATTTTGGGTCGGAACCGGACTTTCTAAGCAACTGCCGGAAATTCTTAAAAATTTTCAACTAAACTAACCTAACTAACTCCTAATCTATAAATTAACTTCAATAACACTAATATAATCTTAATAAAGACTAACCTGGGATTTCGAATTTGACTGTTGTCACAGTCTTCCCTTGTTAGAGAAATTTCGCCCAGAAATTTAATGATTGCAACTTCCTGACAGTTCTGTCGTGAATAGTTAGGGATATTTGTTCTTCATAAAATCTTCTCGCTCCCAGGTATACTCCGGCCCATGCCTTGAGTTCCAACGAACTTTCACGATTGGAATCTTGCTACGCCTCAATCGCTTGATCTCACGGTCTAGAATTTCAATTGGTTCTTCTATAAGGAGTAACTGTTCGTTGACTTGGATCTCTTCGAAAGGTAGGACTAACAATTCTTCTGACAGACATTTCTTGAGATTCGATACATGGAAAGTGTCATGAATAGCATTGAGCTCTTGCGGTAGATTGAGTTTGTAAGCGACTGGTCCTACCCTTTCCAATATCTTGAACGGACCAATATACCTAGGACTTAATTTTCCTTTCTTCCCAAAAYGTAATAGCCCTTTCCATGGTGATACCTTTAATAACACCTGATCTCCAACTTGGAATTCCAGTGGCTTCCTACGGTTATCCGCATAGCTTTTCTGGCGATCTCTAGCCGCTTTTAACCTCTCTTAGATCGTCTTGACCTTGTCTGTTGTCTCCTGAATAATGTATGGCCTAATTAATTGACTATCACCAACTTCCAACCAACTGAGTGGTGATCTGCACTTACGTTCATAAAGAGCTTCATACGGCACGCACTGTATACTCGTATGATAGCTGTTGTTGTAGGAAAATTCAACCAGCGGTAGGTGATCATCCCAACTACCTCCGAATTCTATCACACAAGCACG